CTTATTCTTTCCTCAGTTTTAGAGAGTTGAATAAAAATGTGAGTGAGAACATCAGGTCACTTACCACATGTGACAAGAGTGACATTTTATTTAGCCCGCTACTCTTAACTTCATGGTTAAAATCAGTATAGAGCTTCTGTCCCTTGTGGATACTGTAAACTAGCTCCTCTAGCCTTCCTGAAGAAACTTAGTGGGAGAGATGCCCCAAGGCTGTCAAATCTATGGCTACATGAGTTTGGAGGAGGGGAAAGATTCCATCCTTTTGACTGGAGCTGCAAATGCAAACACCCCTCACTACCCAGAAATGTGTCTGTCCTCCAGGGCAGCCTCCTGCCTCCAGGAAGGTTTGTCCCCTCTGGATCAGCAGCTGTCATAGCCGTGGTATTGTTCTGCCTCGGGTCCTCTCCCACAATGTTGACTTAATTTTGCATATGAGTTGATGAGCTTGAAGGTCCTTAAGAGTCTGGTGGTCTTTGGTGTGCCCCTGCCATGTAGTGAGAATGTCATGTTTAGCCCCCTTCATCTCCTTCCGGTAGCTAGGTCTGCACTGGTAAGATAGGTCTAAGACGTCTTGGGTATTTAATTAATTCTTTATTTTAAGTGCCTTAGAGGCAGGGAATGACTCATTTGTCTAATGTGAACACACACACTCAAGATGTATTTGATGAATGTGTGTCCAGCTATGGGGACTGAGCTCAGCCTACCCTTTCCATTGCCTCTCCAAATTAAATTGTTTCTCACTCTCCTCCAGCCTCCTCAGCTGTTTAATAAGTTCTTCCCTCAAAATGAAAGCATGCTTCTTCCTACTTAACATTAGTGGACTGTTCTCCTTTCCGAGGGCAGAATATTAGTGAATGAAGTTTCACGTGACCCTGTGTCTACCTGCAGGACAGAAGGAAGCACCTTGCTGCTGCACTGGAGCAGGTCCTACAGACTTACCCGAAGGACATGGAGAGGGAGAAGACCGTGCTCTTGTTGGCCATGGTATTGGCCAAAAAGGTGGCCGATCACACACCGTCCTTGCTCCGTGATGTCTTTCGCACAACAGTGAACTTTATTAACCAGAACCTACTCACATATGTGAGGAACTTAGTCAGAAATGTAAGAACCAGTGATGTCAGCTCCTTGGCATTTCGCTGAATCCTCTTGGTCTCTGCCTGCTCCTTCTAAGGTCTGGAAACACAGCAGAGCTCTCTGCTGCCGGGCTTCTTTCATCCTTTCTCCCCTGCTTCTGGTGACCAGACCACACGAAAGGGACCTTGCTACTCAGGTAGAAGGTGTGGCTTTGCTTCTATGAGAAAGTTGTGTTGTAGAAGGTGGTGATGAGCACCCCTTTGAGCTTCATCAACTTTATTTTTAAGACACCCTGCTATCAGAGCACACTGCACACTCTACTCTTGTTAGGATCCAAGTCATACAGTGTAGGTTACGGGTAGAGCATGAGAGAATGTGGCGGGAGTGTCCCCAGCTGGGCTTCATCTGCCTTCACCTCCACCTCATCACAAACATAAGTATAATTTACATTTAAAAACATGTTTACCAAAAAGGATGTTGGGGAGAGATGCCAAAATGGATAGTCAAAAAGGGGAAAAAACTATCTAAAATCTTGCCCAGAAAACCTGTCCAAGATATTAAAACTAAAATATTAAAAGTCACAATTCTTCATGATGCTGCCTAGGAAGAAGGGCCAGACAGGTAGTAAAGTCTGTTGCTTCACTTTAAGTGGAAATTAAGTGGTTGTATCTTATCTGTAAGTTTAGTGAATGTTTGGGATTTTGTGTGTCAGAGGCATTACTCAGGCATCTAACCCCTGATGCCTTTCTCTGTGTGCCATGGTCTTCATTTATGGCAGCATTTTAAAACAGGAGAACGAATACAAATCTTGAAGCTGAATTGTTGGGAGAAGGTAAGCCTGAGAAAGTTCGTAACAGCTTTCACCAACAACCATCTAGCTGGACAATAAGTGGGCAAGATGTCAACAGCTATCTGTATTAACAGCCTCCCGAATACTGAAGGGCTGAAACAGAATCTTCATTCCTTGGACCAAGATGCTTCTTAGCACCAGAAGTGATTCAATAGATGTGAATATCCAGATCTCAGCACCTTGAAAGCCTATGTCTTTGCAATTGCTCCCATGTAGCAAAAAGGAGGATGCAGCGATCTAAGGATGACAGGGCTCCAGAGAGTGTGTTTTGTACAACCCCGGCTTCACATCTATTGATTGTGGCACCAGAGTCCTTAAGTACTAAATCCTGGTTAGTGAATCAGACTGGCTAATTCTGTCTATTTTCCTTTCTTGCTGCAGGAGATGGACTGAGTGGACAACTCTGCAAAAGTACAACTGGTTAAAACTTGATATGGTGACAACAGTACACCTGCCTCCAGTGGAGATGGAGCCATGGCTGTGTAAACAAAGTTCTTAGAGAAGATAGGCACGAAGTAATAGCTATTTATTTCTTACTATTTTAAAGATGATGTTTTAAGCAAGTGATTCATTTAGAAACTTTACCTTAACATACTTGAATGAAAATGTCAACTTGCACAGATTTGAATGAGTTTCATACCATCTTCCAAATCCACTACACACTGTGCCTTTATCTTATTTCAGCTGTACGGGTCTTCACTTGAAAATTAAATTTAAGAACAGATTGTAAGGCAGAAAAAAGGGTTTTTTTTTGTTTAAGAAAAAGAACCATGTTTTTTTGTTTAAAAAAAAATACTGTTTATTAAAGTGCAACCTTGGGGTGTGGTCTGACAGCAGGCAATATGAGGAGAGTAAGGTCTGGAGATGGATGAACTTACCCCTCACAAATGAAAAATTCCTCTCAATGTAGGGCACACCTTGATACTAAGGAAGTTAACAGTCTTCCCATTTAAAAACCAAACAGTACAAGAGGTTCTGGACTAAAGTTCTGTACTCAAACAATGGGAAAATCAGGCCTCAAAACATGATTTTTTTCAACTCGATTTCCTTTTGAGTTAAGAAGGACCACAGGCAATTGAAAGGTGTGGAGATCATTTAAGGACCCACGTCAGCCACAGCTTCCAAAATCAGGTAACCAAATGCACCTTTTCTTTCCAAGAAGTCAAGGCTCTGATAAAAATTTTAAGCTGATGCAGTACCAGAAGCTACTACATACAGCCCATGGGGGAATGTCTGTTAATCTTCCATTTTCATTTTCCTCCCATATCCCTCAGCTTACCCTTGCCCAAGAAGTGACATCTGAAGAAAACAGGTTTCTAGCCATAAAGATAAAACAATAGTTAGACTTTTAAAAATTCAACAGTTGAGGTGGTTCCCTTTCTTAGAGACACAGTCAGAATGCAAGTAATAACAAAAGTAAGTCACTTAGGTAGTGCCAAAATAAACCAGAGAGAGCTTACATTTAGAAACAGTGCAATACTGGTCTGTTGTTCCCAGCGATAAGCATTTCCTAGGATTCTGTTTAAAGGTACAGTGGTGGATGCTGGGTCCATATCACACACATTAATGTTAGGCTTACCAGTAATACCGTTGTTACTATGAATAGAACACTCTGGGAAAGGATACGAACAAGAGTAATAGGTACTAAGAAATACTTTCTTGTTACCAAAAACACTTTTCTGTTCCTTGAGAGTTTAATCAGAAAAGAAATATGACTGCATTGTTCAGCATTAAATACATACCACACTAGGGCTGGGCCTCAATTTGCTATCTGCAGTATGTTGCAAATACTAAAAGCCGTGCAGTAAGAAGGCCACCATTTGGAAATAAACCGGTAATGCTGTTATGTTTTGGAGTGGACTTTTTTTTTTTGAAGGATTCATATCACAGTGGAAACAGGTTGAATCACACATATACATACATACTCACTCATCCATACGTGTATCAGTTCAATCAGATTCTCACTAGGGGTGGGGGGACACTTTCTTCTGAAAGGAACAATTTAAATACGAAGTCAACTCTAATGGAAGAAAAAAAGAGCTCTAAAACCGACAGATAATTCCAGACTATCTCGTATAATACAACTTTTCACATCTTTATCTGCCAGTTTTGCTTAAATTGATACAGTAGGCCACCATTTTCATACAGCTTATACATACGTGTTGGTGTAAATTTCTTCAGACCAAGTTAGACTTTCTCAGCCATGAGGCAAAATTATCACCTTCTTGTCCCCAAACCAGCATTATGAAAAGAGTCCACTGTATCAAAAACGAATGTTCCCAGTCTTGAGCACATCCCAGCCAGAATGACAGACCTATCCTGGAAGTTGGTGGATTTTACTCGTCATGGATATAACAAAGTTTTTTTAATTTAGAGAATGTGTTTCATCCTGTTTTTTTAAATATTTGAATTAAGCAATGGAAATTCATTGGTTAAAGATAAAAAGTTTTCTGGGGCACCTGGGTGGCTCAGTCACTTAAATGTCCAACTCTTGATCTCAGCTCAGGTCATGATCGAACTCACAGTTTTGTGAGTTCGAGCCCCGCATTGGGCTCTGTGCTGTCTGGAGCCTGCTTGGGATTCTCCCCCTCTCTGTGGTCTTCCCCCTCTCCCCCCACTCACACTCTGTCTCTCTTAAAATAAGTAAATACATTAAAAAAAAAAATCTTGCCTCACTTCTAGCAGCTTAACAAGGCTGGATTCTTAAATGAATAAATAAAAAGTAAAAAGCTTTCTTTTCCAGAAGCTGCTTGGCATATCTGAAAGTCAGGTGGATTATCTGGTATAGTCAGGTCAAATCATTCCTGATCTCACCACTTAGGATCCAGCACTAACTGCTGAGATGCTCAGGGCTACCTTAAAGGGTCATAGCACCAGAGCCTTTTATTTTCCAACAATTTCACTGCTGACTGGGAACCTGAATATGGAGTGTCCTTTGAATGCTAAGATCATGTTTTCAGAACCTGAAGGCAAAGCAAATAAGTGTGTACCTATCAAGACCCCAAGATTATCTGAAATCCCTCTGAAGTCCAAGGCCTAAGATTACCATGTGAATACAAAGAGTCATCCATCAATTATCTTCAGATCTCACTTTATTTCAACCTCCAATGTATTCTCCCCAACACACTGCTTCTAACAGCACAATTCATAGATTTGAATTTTGTTCTTTTCCCCTGATGAAGAGTAGATTGGCCAAAAGGCAGATAACAGGAGGGAAAAGGAGGAGCCAGAATAAACCACAAATAAGGTGAACAAATCAGAGTTGTTAGGAGAGCTAATGGAAATTCATACAGAGAAAGTAAATACATGCACTTAAGTAAAATGCTTGTGTTACCAAAATTACCATTTAATTCCAGTAATTTTGAGGAGATGAGAGCATTAGAACCAATAATAAATTGAACTCAGTCAAGGAATGAGGTAGAGAGAGGCACTTTTAATGTAAAGGAAAAGAGAAATGAAAGCCTAAGATAGCTGGAAAAATACACAAATTCTATCTTTTCCTTTGGTGCTGGCCAAGGACCAACCTATGTAATACAATGTCTTGCTAAAAATCAGGACCCAAGTTATTCCAGACTCCGTTAACAGGGAAGATTGTATTTCAACTTCCTTTTATTCCTGGAACAGTAGTAAAATGTCAAAACTTTTGTTCATAACAATACACTGATTAACCAATTTCTTCTGGTGGTGCAAAAAACTCACTGAGCAAGATCACTATAAAATTTCCCCTTAGAAGTTTGAGAAGGGGGCAAAGATCACCTTAAACCAGCTGCTACTTTTTAACTTATTACAAGGCCTTGCAAATATCCCTGAGAACATCTCCTACCTGAGCTTACTATGAAGCAGCTGCCTGGCTAGAGCTACTGCAGTGTAAACATAAACATCGGGAGGGCCCTGATGGTTTAAATTCACAGGAACATGGCCAGCCAGAGGCTAGTCTTCTGTAAATAAAGGGAAGACCAGGATGTCTTAATATTTTAGTTTCATGACCGTTTCTACTCTCTATGGAGTTCTATGAGGTAACTAAGAAATAGTGACTAAATTTTAAGAAACGGGTATCCTACAGCCAAGGCCCCAGTGTACTGTGGAACTGAGATGTTTCACTGGAAAGTTATCTAGTGTCAGCTTCTGAGCAAGATGTGTCTGTGGCTGTACCTTGCCAGCTCTCAAGTCAGTCACCTCTCGAATGTTGAGAGGCCAATGACTGGCGGTATCCCCCACTTCATCTCATCCCACTTCACAACCCATGGCATAGGCAGGGGGAAAGGTAAATAGAGAAAAGGGAAGAGAAAGCATCAAGGCGCTGTCTTCAAGTCATTTGGTGATGATTCCTGTGTCAGACTGCCTTACTCTTGTTTATAAGCAGAAGTACTTATGTGACACACTAAAAAAGATAAAGATCCATACCAACAATAACTGCACATTCTTTAGCCACAAGGCATCACATTCACTAAGAGAAAATCATACAAGTTCGGAATAACTCTGGACATAACCTTCACTCCTATTTCTGTAGAACATGCTCAAATTTTAGATTAGGCCAGATGGAACTGTTGTACAAATCAAGAAAAAAACTCCCTTTCTTCCAGGGCACAGTCTGGTGCGCCTGGCTGCCCTTGTGCAGTCCATGATTGGCACAACCATTTGTAGAGAGCCTACCAATCCTGCTTGACAGTGTCACAAACATGGTAAAAACCGAAAAAAGCACTAGACTTGGAGTCAGAAAAATCCAGTCACCTTTTCCTCTCCCATGCTAGGCTTTTGAAAAGTCATTAAACTCCAATTAGGTCTCTTCACAGCGTAAGCTGGGGATGAGGACTATGAATATCCATTGCAACTGTGAAGGTGGAATAAGGTACATGATGGTGCACAAGAACAATCTCTGGCAAATTGTAAATGTTCAACTATTGTTAAAATTATAATGCACACTTTTTAAGGAAAAGGATACTCAAATACAGAAAAATATGCACCCTAAACTGAAACCCATCTCACAGTTGAACCTCCTCAGTGATGAATGCTGTAATGGGAAGTTGTCACTAATGGCAGATCTCGTTCCTCCAGAGAAGCTACATTTTTCTGGTATGGTGTTGCTGAGGCTTTAAATGAGATACAGTAGCGCCCCCTCATCCTCCCCAGTGGATGCCTGAAACCACGGAAAATACTGAGCCCTATGTATGTTTTTTTCCCCAAACATACATATCTATGGTAAAGTTAGTTTATAAATTAGGCATAGTAGACATTAACAAGAAAATAGAATTAAGATAATATACTGTGATGAGTTCTGTGAATGTGGTCTTCCTCTCAAACTATCTTATTATACTAATACCCTCATGAGGACATGAGATGACAAAATGCCTACTCGATGAGATGAGTGAGGTGAGCGATGCAGGCACTGTGATGAACCATTAGGCTGCTACTGACCTCAGGATATGGGAGTATCATCTACTTCTGGGCCACGGCTGACTGCTGGTAACTGAACCGCAGAAAACGAAACTGCAGACAAGGGGATTTGTGAGGAAATCAGTTCAGAGGCCAGAATCTGTTTCTGTAAAGGTAATCAAATAGTCTACAGGCCCTCTATGAAATATGATCACCAACTCAAATTTTACCTGTAGTACCTTTTATTTCTATAAGACATCTCAAAATAATTTTAAAATTCTGTGGGTATGACATTTGTCCACATCATGCCTTTTAGAGAAAAAGGCAAAGAGCAGGCATTACTTTTGTATTATTAGAGGGAATTAGCATGAAGGCTGGGGAAATTGATTTCCACAAGGAATTAATGGTAGCTGTACTTCCAAAAAACCACATTCCTGGGTTCATTGTTTATTCTCCCAGGACAGACCCAGTCAAGTAGCTGCATTTTGATATGAGATGGTACAGAAACACAGGTGAGAGGAGGTATCAAGGATGCCTTTGTGTGGTGAACATGTGAACCAGATGGTCAACAGTCGCTTTTCATTTTCTAGAAAGCTTTCTAGAGGGCAATGATGATACAAGAGTCCCTGTAAGGCACACTGTAGACACTGATTTCTATTGGCTCAGAATTATTATTTTAATACAAAGACGATAAAGTGGCATTCTTTAATTCTGGTATTTTTCTCAAGAAACCTTCATTGGTTTTTTACCAAGTTTTCAGAAATCATTACAGTCAATAAAGCAATTAAGAAGAAATCTAGAAAACTTACTAATACAAACTTTTGCTCAATAGTTTAAAGAATGAGGAATGATAAATGGTGATACTCAATTCCACATTTGAGTTCCATAAGCAAGTGAGATTTATCCCTAATCTGCCTTTTTACCTTAGATTTAGATGTAATGTTAAGTTGGGGAGGCGTGGGGGAGAAGAAATGGCCTCTGAGTACCAGCCCCACCAAAAACGAGGGAGGTGGGAGGCTGAGAAATAATTTTTTTAATAAGCAAAAAATAGGAACTGCTGTAAGCAGCGGTCCTCATTAGGGTATTTCCCCTCCAGTGCCAGAGGCAGAGGATAAGGAAGTGAAGAAGCATCAGGCACCCTGACACACTATTATTCAGAACTATCAATGATTCAACCTAGAGAAAGCCAATGGAAACGAGTATTAACCATTACTCAGCAAGAGGCAATTGGCCGAATCACTTTGGGTTAATGTTCAACAGATAGGAAAATAAACCAGCACGTGGCAGCATCCTATCACATGTCTCAGTCTTTCCTTTAGTGGAGAACACAGACCCAAATATCCTAAGCCACAGATCTCCTTGTAGTAGCTCAGAAGTAAACCCGGTTTCTATTAGTGCTTAAATGTGTTCAGCTAATGGGTTTGGGCTCCGGAGTTTAAAAGTGTCAACACTAGAAGGAAAATATTTTATTATAAAAGAGAAAAAAAAAAAAAATCAAGATAACTCACCAGTGTGCTCTTATCCTATGCAAGCACAAAAGCAGGAACTAGAATACAGAGAAACCCCAATGTCGGAGCCAACTGTCAGAGTCCAAGGAGTGAAAACCATCTTTACTACATTAATTCCCATCCTCCCACCTCTTCTCTAGCTACACTAGTCAAGGTGCACCAAAACCCTTAAAAATATCACTCCCTAAGACGCTACAACTCAGAACATACAGATACAGTGCATGATAAAGCTGAATAGACAAACACACTTCAGACCTTTCCTTGACCAGCTTTTAAATAGTACTGCTTTAGGGAGAAGATTTAATTTTAAAAAATAAATTTAAAAAAGAAAGCACATTTAAAACGTCAAGTTTTGGTGATCAGGATAGTAAAGTAATTTTATTACAAATTTCAGGATCTAAAAAGTAATTTGTTACATTTACTAAGATAAATCTGAGATGACCTGTATCAAGCATGTGTGTCCTGCATAGTGACACTGTGATCCTCAGGCATGAAAAGACATGGTCCCACCCCCCCTGCTTTAGGGATGGGATCAGCCAGATGAAAGAAAATTACACTGATTCTCAACTAGCACATACTGATTAGAATCATTTTGTTTATCACTCTGGCATTTGGACTGTAAAGAGTTCAGGGAAGAAGTCTAATTCTTGAACTCTGAAAGCCAAACTAAAATCTCGAGGGTAGCCTCAAGAAAGTCAAGCTTCTCTTTTACTACTTTTTATTTCAATGGTATTTAGGAGACCTTCTGTATTTAATAAGAGTTATGATTCAGTTGGTCTGTAAGCCCAAGTATTAACATCCTTATCACATGGCAAAAGACCACAGAGAAGCTGGCTGACCAGTAAGAAGACTAGGCCAGATAAAGGGAAAACACACTAATGCAGGTTCTAGACAGTGACCATCCAGCAACAGAGATGCTGCTAGCGAGTAACCATAAGCTCCATAGGGTGGCCATACACAAAAGGGCCAGAAGAGACTTTGACAGGCCATCTAAGTCATTCTTCTGCTTCTAAATGAGACAAATGTCCCTCTTTAGCCAGTTACTTGCCTTTGCATTCACAGGCAGGGAGCCCTAGGTCTCTGTTATATTTATTTTTTTTAAAGATTACTAAAGGTAACATCTTTACAAGGTGGAGCCGTAGGAAGCATCAGGGACTTAGTGGGCACAGAGCAAGTGCTCTCCCGTGGGATCTTAACAAAGAACGTGGGGGTGAAGAGGAACGGTGCAGTACCTGAGAGGCAGCAGAGACATAAAGGGAGAGCACCCTCACGCTACAGGACTAAGAAGGTGGGGGAAAAAAGAAGATCCACAAAGGAATGGCTGCAAAACACAGCATGTTGGTCAGGAAAGATGAATTTCCAAGGGCAGGAACAAATCAGTAGCTGAGGAGCCCACAGCTAAGCCCTGTTGGCCTAGGAATTTCTATCGCAGATTCTCTTAAATTAACCCTCTCCCTCTAAAGCTGTGGCTCTCAACGGGAACAATTTTCCCCTCAGGGGACATTTGGCAATGTTGGGAGACATTTTTGGTTGTCACAACTGGGGGAACGGTGCTACTGGTATTTAGTGGGTAGAGGCCACAGATGTTGCTAAACATCCTACAGTGCACAGGACAGCCCCCTACAACATAGGATTAATCATGATGTCCTTGATGGCAAGGTTGAGAAACCCTGTTCTAGAGGGAGGGAGTACTTTACTCAAGAGATTCTGAATTGAGCATGAGCCACGGTCCTTGGAACTTAACAGACAAACGTGAATGCCCTCTACCTCAAGCCCTACTATGTGGATCAATTTATGCCTTGTTGAGCAGAAGTCCCCCATTATCCCAGAGTGTTCCACAAATGTCCAATCAGTTGTTGGTGGATCCAATTCAGTCAGTACAGCTAAGACTTTACATATTTTTTGTCTTCTTTCTCTTCTGAAAGATCTGCTATTTCTTTCTCAGAGCCAGTGCTACCCCAACTGCCACTGCCAGGATGGCAACAGCGGCGGCCCCTCCAAACAGCAGTATAGACTTGCCCTCAGACAGGGGGAAAGCCTTCTCTTCTGCAGCAGGGGAGGGCCCTTCTTGAAGACTCTCTCTCTTTACATGCATCTCCTTTTCACTCAGCAGTGTTTCTGTGGGTTCCAGTGCAGGGATCACTTCCTCTTCTAGTTCAACAGATTCAACTGCTGCTGCTTTTGTCTTCATCAAGTTCTCTTCTTCATCAAGTTCCACAAACAACGATGTAGCAGGGCTGACTTTCTCAACTGCAATCGCTTCTGTGTCAGGTTCCCTCACCTCCAGCACGGAAGTAGCAGTGATATGCGGAAGCAAGGGAGCAGGTGCTTCAGGGAATGCCTCCTGCAGCTCCTTGGTTGGCAAGACTACAGACGCCACAGCAGCCTCTTCCACACCTTCAGGTATTTCTTCTTTTTCCACATGCACAATGTCAGAATTAGAAGAATTGTTCTCGCTCTTCTCTCCAGCCCCATTGCTATCTAAGCTTTTGACTTCTTCAGGATCCATTGCAATCTGTTGCCAGGACTCAGGACCTAGGGACACTGGTAGGCTTTCTGTGTGCCAACTCTGACTGGCTGAGAGTGAAACAGGTAAGCTCTCTGACTGCCAAGAAGTGGTCACAGTAGGAGACTCTGGAGGACTGACTTGTCCAGAGTTGTCACTGGGCAGGATATAAATGTCATTGCTATCTTCTGCAACGATTCCAGGGTATTCCTCCTCCTCTGATTCAAGGTTAAAGACAGTGCCCTAGAAGAGAAGGAAGAGAGTCAATACAAAGAATGGTAAATATATTTAAAATAAATATAAATCTGGATAAAAATTCTTTCCCAAACTGAAGTTCTAGGAATAAATACATTGTTTACAGCTATGTAATTTCTGGATTGAATGCATTTACCTGTAGACCAATGAAGAGGAAGAATTTTTTTTCTTTTATTCATTTTTTTATGAATATAATATATTGTTAAACTGGCTTACATACAACACCCAATGCTCATCCCAACAAGTGTCCTCAGAGGAAGAATTTTTAACAAGATAGTCCTCTGACCAATTTCCTTGAAACTAAAAAACCAAAATGTGATTTTTATATTCAATTCGATGTGTATATATATATACAATGCAATAATTAATGCAAAATAGCAGAGAAAACAAAGGCAAGAAACTTGCTCTCAAGGAATTTATCACTTAGTAAGGCAATGCTATCCGACAGTCCAAGTGCTAGTAAGAGTTCAGCTGGAGAGATGGCAACTTCTTCTGGTGGAGGCTGCAGCAGTCAGGGAGATGCCTGAGAGCTTTGTGGAGAAACCAGCATTTACAGTGGCTATCAAGAGAATGGGTCAGAGTGTATGGTGAAAACCATGGACAAGACACAATACCTGCAAAAGTGTATAAATATAAAAAAGAGGATGTCACAAAAACAGACACTCAGATCAATGGAATAGAATACAGAACCCAGAAATTAACCCACAAACATATGGCCAACTAATTTCTGACAGTAGGAAAGAATATCCAACGGAATAAAAACAGTTTCTTCAGCAAGTGCTGGGAAAACTGGACAGCAACATGCAGAAAAATGAACCTGGACCACTTTCTTACACCATACACAAAAATAAACTCAAAATGGATGAAAGACCTAAATGTAATAAGACAGGAAGCCATCAAAATCCTTGAGGAGAAAGCAGGCAAAAACCTCTTTGACCTTGGCTGCAGCAATTTCTTACTCAACACGTCTCCAGAGGCAAGGGAAACCCAATCAAAAATGAACTATCGGGACCTCATCAAAATAAAAACTTCTAGTCTGCACAGCAAAGGAAACAATCAGCAAAACTAAAAGGCAATCAACGGAATGGGAGAAGATATTTGCAAATGACATATCAGATAAAGGGTTAGTATCCAAAATCTATAAAGACCTTATCAAACTCAACACCCAAAACACAAATAATCCAGTGAAGAAATGGCAAAAGACTTGAATAGACACTTCTCCAAAGAAGACATCCAGAAGGCCAACTGACACATGAAAAGATGCTCAACATCACTCATCATCAGGGAAATACAAATCAAAACCAGAGTGAGATACCACTTCACACCTGTCAGAATGACTAACATTAACAATTCAGGCAACAACATATGTTGGTGAGGATGTAGAGAAAGAGGATCTCTTTTGCCCTGCTGGTGGGAATGCAGTCACTCTGAAAAACTGTATGGAGGTTCCTCAAAATATTACAAATAGAACTACCCTAAAACCCAGCAATTGCACTACTAGGTATTTATCCAAGGGATACAGGTATGCTGTTTTGAAAGGGCACATGTACCCCCATGTTTATTGCAGAACTTCAACAATAGCCAAAGTATGGAAAGAGCCCAAATGTCCATCGATGGATGAATGGATAAAGAAGATGTGTATATATACAATGGAGTATTACTCGGCAATCAAAAGGAATGAAATCTTGCCATTTGTAACTACATGGATGGAACTAGAGGGTATTATGCTAAGCGAAATTAGTCAGAGAAAGACAAGTATCATATGACTTCACTCATATAAGGACTTTAAGATACAAAACAGATGAATATAAGGGAAAGGAAGCAAAAATAATACAAAAACAGGGAGGGGGACAAAACATAAGAGACTCTTAAATATGGAGAACAGAGTTGCTGGAGGGGTTGTGGGAGGTGGGGATGGGCTAAATGGGTAAGGGGCATTAAGGAATCTACTCCTGAAATCATTGTTGCACTATTTGCTAACTAACTTGGATAGAAATTAAAAAATAAATTAATTAAAAAAAATTTTTTTAACATTTATTTATTTTTGAGAGAGAGAGACAGAGCATGAGCAGGGGAGGGGCAGAGAGAGAGGAAGATACAGAATTCGAAGCAGGCTGCAGGCTCCAAGCTGTCAGCACAGAGCCCGACATGGGGCCCGAACTCACAAACCGCGAGATCATGACCTGAGCCGAAGTCAGACGCTCAAGCGACTGAGCCACCTAGGTGCCCCAAAAATAAATAAATTTTTTAAAATAAAAATAAATAAATAAATAATAAAAAAGGGTAACAGTATGTAACCCAGTCTGAGTAGTGTACAATGTACATGAAGAATAGAAATTTCCATTAGGAAAGGGACCCCGGAAAACCTGACAGAGAACTAAGAAATATGGACTTCATTCAACAGGAAATGGTCAATGAAGTGTTTTAGCTACACAAGGACAATCACAGCTCCACTTTAAAATGACTTGAGAGCAGTGGTCAGAGGAACACCAGAAATGTAAGACTCTTGCTTCTCTCTTTAGCAAGAGTCTTGACACAAAAGCAATAAAAATAAATAATGTCAGGGGCGCCTGGCTGGCTCAGTTGCTAGAGCACCCGTCTCTTGATCTCAGGGTCGTTGAGTTCAACAGAGCATGGAGCCTACTTAAAATAAAAAGTTTATTTAAAAAAAATTCACCATCTAGATGTGAAGACTGACATATGAATAATTTCAGTATGATACAGAAAGCTTTAAGACAGGTATATGCACAGGATGATAGCGGAACCTAGAGGAAGAGAGAACGAATGGAGGGTAATGTTCATAAAGACCTAAAGAAAGCTTCACAAAAAGTCTGGGTAACACTCATAAATGCTGCAGAGAGTTTGAATAGAGTATGTAAAGCAAATTAATTCCTATTTTATTTTGTGATTATAGCTGCTATTCATAGGAAGTAGAATAATTTTATTCTTCAATCAAAACTGAAAGCTCTCGGGGGGCACCTGGGTGGCTCAGTAGGTTGAGCGTCCAACTTCAGCTCTGGTCATGATCTCACACTCTGTGAGTTTAAGCCCCACGTCGGGCTCTGTGCTGACAGCTCAGAGCCTGGAGCCACTTCAGATTCTGTGTCTCCTCCTCTCTCTGCCCCTCCCCTGCTCATGCTCTGTCTCTGTCTCAAAAATAAATTAAAAAACATTAAAAAAAATTTTTTTTAAAAACTGAAAGCTTTCTGCATACATTAAGGCTCTAATATAAACCAGTAGTCCCTCTATTAGCCCTACATAAAAAGAAACCAGAAAAGCAACTAAACAAATAACATGATCATACTATCAAGATTCTAACTGCCCCACATTCCACCTCAACCCTTGTTTCAATCTCCTTAGGAAGCCCTAGAGGTCATCAGGGATAGTCTGTGAATGAACATACGCAGAGAGATACAACAGTGGAGTAATTAAAAACACAGTATTTGTAGGAAAAAAGAACTGGTTTGAACCCCAGCTCCACACATACCAGATGTGTATATCTGAAGGCCTTGCTTGCTTAACCATTAAAAAAAAATTTTTAATGTTTATTTATTTTGGCGGCGGGCGGGGGTGGGGGGGCGGTAGGGGCAGAGAGCAAGGAAGACACAGAATCTGAAGCAGATTCCAGGCTCGGAGCTGTCAGCACAGAGGCCCATGCAGGGCTCAAATCCATGAACTGGGAGATCAGGACCCGAGCCAAAGTTGGACGCTTAACTAAGCCACCCAGGCGCCCCTTTGCTTAACCATTTAAACTTCAATTTATTCATAAATGGAATATGAATGCCTTGGTAAGTTTTATAACAAAACTTAGATATAGTATTTATCATGCTTAGCACAGAACCTTGTACATAGTAAGCAATCAATAAATTATGCTGTTTTTTCATTATTATTGTTTTTGTTGTCATTGTTTTTTTGCTACTGTTTTTGGTGTGGTGGTGGGAGAAAGAGTCACATAGACTGAAAAAATTTTAAAACTAAAAGCAATTTGAAACAATACCCTTCCTTGGGTACAAAAAGGTAATTAACATCCTCATCTCTCCTAAATAGAGGTATCACATAACTGGAAAGTAAAAATCTCTCTTTAGAAAATTACAATAGTATAAGGGTGCCTGGGTGGCTCATTTGGCTCAGGTCATGATCTTGCAGTTCATGAGTTTGAACTCTGCGTCAGACTTAGTGCTGACAGCCCAGAACATGGAGCCTGCTTCGGATCTGTGTCTCTCTCTCTGCCCTTTTCCTGCTTGCGCTCTCTCAAAAATAAATAAACATTAAAAAAAATCATTTTTTTAATTACAATAGTATACATCAAACCAATATACAGCTTATTTCTATGGGACAGAACCAAAAGAAAAGTGTGTATTCTATAAATTTTTTACAATGATCATGACTTTGTATAAAAAATTTTTTTAATCTATTTGAAAATAATAAATAAATCTATCTCCATTTTTTTAAAAGACTGTTACATATAAATGGTGGTCTGCTGCCTCCTAGAAACTTGAGATTAGTGGACATTCAACAATCTCAACATGAGCTGTGAAATAATTTGAGTCAGATGAAGAGGATCTCCTGAATATCTTTTGTACATGTCCCTAAAACAAAGGGCAGGGCATATTAGAACACCATTAGAAATTGGTGTTTTTTTTTTTAAATCTTTTATTCTTTTTTTAGTATTAATACACGATAAACACATTCATAAAATTACGTAACCTAACATTCACCATTTTTAGGTGTGCAATTCAGTGGTGCTTAGTATATTCACAATGTGTGCAAACATCACCCCACTTTATTTAATTCCTGAACATTTCCACCATCTCAAAGAGAAAGCTTTTGACAATCACTCCCAATTCTCCCCTCCTCCTTCCCCTGGCAACCACTAATCATTCTCTGCCTCTAGATATGCCTATTCTGGGAAGTTCATATAAATGGAATCATACAATACGTGACCTTTCATGTTTAGGTTCTGTCACTTCACATGTTTTCAAGGTTCG